CGGAGAGTGTCTGGAGGAGGAGACAAAATGGCGGCGCGCGCGGGGGGGGGAGGCGGAGGGCGCCGGGCGCCATCTTGAATTAATCGCTCGGCGGCGCCAGCGCCTCGGCGCGGGCCGGGCCGGAGGGGGGAGCCCCTGGCCCCGCGCGGCTCCGCCGAGCCCGCAGCCTCCCCACCCCCGCTTCTCCTCCGCCTCTCCCTCCTCCTCCTTCCTCGTCCTTCCCCCCGCCAGCGAGTGGCGGCGGAGCTCGGCGCTTTCCGGCCCGCGGCGGCTTCCTGCGCCGCGGCGGCCGCCCGTGCCCCGCCATGGCGCGGCGGCTCCGCGGGGCGCTGGGCGCCTTGGAGAACGAGCTCGACGCCCGGCGCCTCTGCGGGGCGTTCAGGAAAACACTGCTTTATTTTATACTGTGTCTGCAATGCCCGCGCCGCTGGCCTGGCCTGCAACAAAAGAGGGAGGAAAGAAAGACCATCGATTTTTTTTTTTTTTTATAAACTAAATTACAGTGAAAACAGCAGTATCAGTCGCCCTGCCAAAGCAGGGGGGGGACGCACGGTGAAATAAACGGCTAAATGATTACCCTGCCATACTCGTAACATTGTTTTTATTCTTCCCTTTATTCCCCAGCAAGGCTGGGCGCTCCCCGTTCCAAGCCTTGCCTGTGCGCGGCGGGAATGCGAATTCCCACCTGGATCCCGCGCGCGGCCGTCCCCGTGAGTGGGTCACTCCGGGCGAGCCGGGGCGCCCGCGGGGCCCCGTGGGGCGCGTGGAGCTGCCGTGGGGCGCTCCCGAGCCCGGGCGCGCGCCGGGGCCGTTGGCGTGCCGGCGTTGGGCTCTCGGGGCCTCGCGTTCCCCGGCGTGGGGCTGCGTTTCGCCACGCAGCGAGTTGTGTTCTGCCTCTGCCCGTGGATGAGCTGGGCTTTCCTTGTAGACAAAGGAATTTCCTATGGATCTCTTTTTCATTAAGATGGCTTTTCTGAGGCCTTTTATCTTTTCCTACTCCCCCCCCACTTTTTTTTTTTTTTTTTTTTTGAGAGGGCGCAAACAGACAAACTGACCAACTGGCTCATTAAAGCTTTTCCCTCTAAGTAACTCCATTTTTGAAGTTGCCCTTTCTTTAAAACATGTCATCTTCTCAATTTCTTATTTCACCTTGACTACTGTGGTAGGCCAGTTATGCCACTACTTGTAATATTACAAGCTATTAAAACGTCTGTGTGGATTTTCTTTTGTTTTTCAACTGTTTGACAAGATGAGATTTATAATAAATCCACCAATTTTGTTCATAAACTTACTTTATTGTGTTGCTAATAGCTTAATACCATTTAATCTGTGAATATATATTTTTTTCTCTGTGCCCTTCCACTTGGAAACATTGCCTTGACTTTCACAAAAGCAGAAACAACCAAAAGATCTCAAGACATGTCCTTGAGTAAGCAGTTAAAATAGTCATCTTGCAAGAACTAACTGAATTAGTTATATTTAACTGAATTAGGTATATTTCAGAGTCATATTAATTCTCCATCTGTATGAAGCTGACAGACCCAGAGCCAAATAAAAGATAGAGGTACTTAATTATCTTTTAGGAGGTAGAAAACCTGGCATTAAGGACCTAGGCTTGTTGTTGCTGTTGTTATTGTTGTACCCAGTGGTTGTTAGGAGAGCAGTTCCCAAGTTCCCTCATTTTGAACCACAAGGCAGGTAGATCTGGCTGTGGAGAAGGGCTAAGTGTAGGGACGTGGCTGGGGCACCTGCTTTTCTTCAAGAGTTCAGGTTCCCAAACCAGAACTGAAAAATGCTTCTGTCTGCCGACACCTCCTCCTGAGGTAAGTGGCTGTCAGGACTGCCTGAAAGAACCAGCAGGAGTTTCTGGCCTCCTTGACACCTTGCGGGAAAATGCCTCTTCGTCTTACGATGTCGCAGAGTTTAAGGTCTTTGCCAAAGAACTTGAAGACCTAGGCTTGGTGTGGTGCTTGCAGTGAGAAACTTTGATATTTCTCATGTCAGAGCAGTGTCTTACGACAAAGCTGCAGGTTGGTACAGAACTGCTGGGAAGACATCCTTTGCATTGCTCAGTCTGGGCCACCGGGCTCATTTGCTGACCAGAACAAACATGAAGAAATGTGGCTGGTTTGTTTGTTTGCCTTTCCTGTCTGTTGGTTAGGATATTCAAATCCTGAAATGTTTGGAGGATTTTTTTTCCCCATCCCCGGACAAAAGCCCTGATGGCTTTTTGGATTTCAGATTCGGATTTGGCCACCTTTATCATTTGAGACAGTTCCGCTAAATCTTAATTTAAATGCCTACCTCCTCTTTTGACGCTTTCTGCAGCACATTTCTCTGTGTGTGTCTTTCTCTGCTGAACTTGAGGGCTATTAAGGTCCGTATTGTCTAGCACAGCTATAGGGATTTGCATACATGAATCTGTTGGCAGGATCAGGGCACAAAAGTGCATTATTGGAAATCTTATTGAAGAACGTACTCATTTGGCGGAGAGATGTGGGGTTTGTTTTGTTTTGTTTTACTTATGAACAAGAAGCAGCACAAGTGGCAAAGCATAAGGCCATGGTGTTTTCAAATCTTGAAAACCTACTTGCCCGAGAAACTTCCTCAGCTTCATCACGTCAGTGTATGACACGACATACAGAGTTTTGCAGAGTCCCTGCAGTTGAAAAGAGCTCTCTGATCAGAGGAGGCAGTGCTGTTGTGCTGCGCGCGCTTGAAGGTCCGCGCTGTCGCTCCTGGAGCTCACGTCCTAACCAAGTTGCATCACCACGAGTGCTCCAGGGCCTGGCACTCGTGTTCGGGGCCACAGGGAAAGTGCAGCTGTGGAAGGTGGGTCTCGGAGGTGAAGAGGGTGTGGAAAGGGAGAGGGAGGAGAGCCTCCTTCTCTGAGACAGCAGGAGTTCGAGGGAGGGATAGGATATTAAATGTATATGCATCAATCACAAGAAGTGGGAATTTGCAGTGGAGCTGGTGGCAAGTGGGTGATGAAAGCAGGAAATGAGAGAAAATGAGCACCACTTGCTCCAGGAGCTCATGAGGAGCTGGTACTTCAGCCTGGTTGGGCTCCAGTTGGCCGGAGGCTGATACGTGTGAGCGTAACCCTCCCAGCCTTGGCTTTCCCCAGAAGCCTGGAGAGGGAGTGCTGCCTTCCTGTGCTGTGCGCGCGGTGCCTCAGGAGACCCGAGAGAAGTTCCAGCAATTTTTAATCCTTTCTGCCTCCTCCAAGAGGGGGGAAAAAGTGAAGCTGTGATACAATCTTTGCCACAGATTGACTTCTAAATTTATGAGTAGGAGGGTTTTGTCGTGTGAATGGTGGGAAGGCACTGGAGTTGCAAGACGGAGGAAAGAATGAGTGAGTAAGTAATGAAAGTAATGTAGGTAAAGGTGTAAAAGATTGGAAAAGACTGAAAGCAGAACAGATGATGCTATGAGCAGGAAAGAAATTTGTAGTTGACTATGTGTGTACTTAATAGGTGAAAATTGGGCCTGCCCAATTCTTAGTTAAATAGCTGCGTGGAGCCTTATTAGTCTGCTCTTGCTTCCCTGGCATGGCAGAAGTTGAGGTGCCATCAGTCTTGTGTCTGAGACTGAGCAACACTCTTCTTCTGCTCTTTATCTTGGAAAAGTATCTGCATCAATAGATGCTCCCGTTAATAGTCCATGCTTGGACAGAAAAACTTGGCATTTGGAATAACTGCGAAACCATCTGTGTCCTGTTGGATAGCACAATGACTTGTTAGCACAGCTGTCTTTAAAATCTAGGGCTTTCCCAACTGAACATCAGACCAGAAGTAGGGAATTCCCTGGAAAATATTCTACACAGCAGCTCTTTTTCCTTTGGTTTAATTTCTGGTTATATTTCATCCTCAACTTTTAAAAATGTATCTTTCTGATTTATAAATTAGGTGATCAGCTGTCAAGAGTTGAGAAATTTGAGCTAGAAAGTAAGTGAAGTGTAGAAAATGCTTGTTGCAGATTATGGCTATGGATTTGTATTTTGAAGTAATTGATCATTTCTGTGAAAAAGAAAAAATATATATTCTTGTCAAGACTTAATGTAGATATTAATTGCCGACATTTTTTACAAAGTACGAAATATGGACACCTTCAACAGGGTCTTAATCTTCCTGTGGGCCTGTTGTGACAATATCTTGGAAGGAGGCAGGTTTCTGCTCATCACAGTGAAAAATGTTCTTACCTCTTGCTGGTTCAGCATCAGGAAACCAGTTGGATTAACTTCAAGGGACTAATACAGGTTTATATTAGGTCACATTTTAGCCCAATAGCCTGACCCTTTTTCTATTGAATATATATGAGCAGTAAAGCTTAGATGGGAGTTGTGCAGCTTTTAGCAAGTATTCCAGCTTTTTGGTTTGGTTTCATGCTTTTGTTAAGAAGAGTCTTCAGCTGCTGTTGTGCGTTTAGAAAGTGTTGACATTCTCTTAAATAATCCAGCGCATTTGGTGCTTCCTGAGAACTGGTGAAATTTTTGCTATAAAAGCCAATCAGTGGTTTGTCTAGGGGCAGGTTTCTTTTAAATGTTCCTGCATCTGAGATTCAGAATCTATGATACAGTGTTCTGGAACCATCTGATATTGATTTAAATCTCTGAAGCGGTATAAGAGAAATAGTAATTTCCTCCTGACTGCCCAACTTCATGAATGCAAGGGACATCTAGAGTGAAATGCATTACTATCTGTTAGTCATCCACTTCAGCTTAAACTTCTCAAGCCTCTTGGATTTGAGGATGCTGTAGCCCCAACAGTGAAGAAGACCTGAGTGTGAACATACCCACGCGTTTTCTTAAGAATATATTTATTTTTAAGAACGTAAGCAAATCTCATTTCCTTATTTTGTCACATCTCTTTCTTGATCTCGCACTCCTTTTGTGCAGGCTGTGCATGTTTGGTGCTACAGAGTAGTATTTCTGGAATCCCAAGCAGAAGCCCTCTGAAATCTGGGCCATCTTACAGCCAAGAGGTGTTTTTTGTTGACTACCATATGCCCAGAATTTCATGTTTTCCTGTGATGACTCTTGTACAGGCAGAAATAATCTTAGTATGATAGTTGCTAGTGAAATAACCTTTCTTTTTTACCTTCTACAGACACTGTGACTGATGAGAGTTAAAGGCCATGGATGAAGATGGGCTTGAATTGCAGCCACATGAGCCAAACGCGTTTTTTGATCCAACAGGTCTGTCAGGAGATAATACCTGGATAAGAGTGTCCGCATTAAATATTGTTGACTGCTGGAAGTTTATTTTGTCTTTATTAAAGTTGTCGATGATTTTGTATAAAGTGGTCCCTTTCAATCGGTTGGTTTTGTTACTCGGAGTGATATGAACGAGCTGATTCTGTGTTGATTGTTAGGATGTTGGAGGATTGTTGGGGTGATGCTGGAGAAATGGCAGAATCGCTTGTATTCTGGTGCTTTATCTGCCTTCTCTATTTGCCTGTCTTAGTTGTCTAAGTGCTATTGTGATGGCTTTGCTAAAAAGCTATATCGTATAAAAATTGGAGTCAAACAAAAGTAGTTTCAGTATTAAACACTTGAGTCTGTTTAATAATTTAAATGCCGTTTTAATTATCTTTTTCAGGAGCTGACGCAGCCCATATGGATGGAGATCAGATTGTTGTGGAAGTACAGGAAACAGTATTTGTTTCAGATGTAGTGGACTCAGATATAACTGTGCATAATTTTGTTCCTGATGATCCAGATTCTGTAGTAATCCAAGATGTCATTGAGGATGTTGTTATTGAGGATGTTCAGTGCCCAGATATCATGGAGGAGCCAGATGTGTCTGAAACTGTCATTATTCCCGAACAAGTGCTGGACACAGATGTAGCTGAAGAGGTTTCTTTGGCTCATTGCACTGTCCCAGATGACGTTTTAGCTTCTGACATAACAGCAGAGGCGATGTCGATACCAGAGCATGTACTGACAAATGAGTCGATGCATGTACCTGAGGTTGGACATGTAGAACACGTAGTCCACGATAACGTCGAGGAAGCAGATATCGTCACCGACACCTTGGGAACAGATGTCGTTTCGGAGGAAGTCTTGGTGGCAGACTGCGCGTCGGAAGCAGTCATTGACGCCAACGGGATCCCTGTGGAACATCAAGACGAGAAGGGCAACTGTGAAGATTACCTTATGATTTCCCGTAAGTGTCCGGGCAAAGCCATAAAATTTCCCAGATTGGTGCCCCGGGTGGTGGTTGAAGTATCTGAGGGAGGGCTCGTAATGATGCCCAAAATAGATGTTCTCTAGTATTGAGCGAAACAGAAGTCTCACAAATGTGTTCAAGATTTTTCTCTTCTCTCATTTTTGTTGAATGTGTGATAGCTAATAGTTCTCATGAAACTAATGCAGAGAAATACTAGCAAATGTGTGCCTGGTTATGAATTTGTTTTGTGGCATTTTATAGAAAACGAACAAAAGAGTAAGAATTGCAGTAAGCCAAATGCTAATTGCTTAGAATTAACTAAGAGAAAATAAATAGGCACCATTTTAACGTTCATGTGTATGCAGATTAGTAAGATTGGTGCCAAGCTATTAAGAGAACAGCAGAATTATTTTGTGGAAAAGAGAGTCAAAACCAAGAGGGTCAAAATCTTTTTTGGGAAAACTAAATGTTGTTTGTTATCCTTGTCTGTTTTTTTGTTGTACTTCCCCCAGCAGCCCTTCCCATTTGTAGTTAGATACCAGCAGTGATGCTTTTCTTTGCTGTTAGGATTTGTGTTCTTGATGAAGCAAAGGACTATGCTGTTCACAGGAAGAATGGGTATTGCTGCTCATAGCTGAAGAGCAACCTTAGATATCTTCATCTGCTAATTCCCTTAGAAACAGGGACACAATCCACCAGAATCACGATATGTTGAGAGACTTCTGGAAGGGAGTGAGGAAAAAACATTGCAAATGAGCAGGCCTTTTTATACTGGGGATATCCATTTGTGCAAACTAGAACTTACTCTTGGCTTATTATTTATTGTAATGCTACTCGATACAACACCTAGGAATATCAGAGTGCCCTTCCTGGATATTTGTTTTTCACAAAAACAGAAAATTCTTTTAGCCTGCTTATCTTGTTTGATTGCCATTTCATATCACTTCAGATTTGCCCAGCATTAAATGATGCCCCTGATGAGGCATATTTGATGCTCTTTTAATTATGCTGTTGTTTTGGGGTTTTTTTGATTTTTTTTTCCTTTGGGTGCTTCTTTTTAAATGTATTGTAACTTGTAACTTGTTTTAATTTTATTTTCTGTGCTTGTGGATTTTAATGTTGCTTCTCCTTACCTAGGATCACTGCATTTCTTTCTTTATCATCTCTTGAGTTCCTTGAGTAACCTTGTGCAGCCATGTTTTGAGTTTATATGAGGTACAGTTAATTCTCTATTATCTGGGAAAACAATGAAATGGGATAATGGAAAATACTGGTAACACAAAATATTGTGAAATTAAGCTACAGGAATAAAGAATTTGCAGAGCTGAAATCGAGAGGCGAGATCAGGGATGATGCTGAGTGCGGAGCACAGACCCCAATGAAATTACGCTTCTCCAAACCAGTACAATACACTAGAAACGTGATTTTCTGATTTGGGACCCCAGGTGGGCGACTGGGAAGCAATTCCAATGCTTCTGCACTTGCAGCATAGTTAGCCAACAACATGGACCAGTCCCCCCTGGAGAACTGAGACCCGACAGTGCAAGGGCTCTGCGGATGACCCTTCTCCGATCTTGCTCCTCGACAGCAGCACGTTCAGGTGCCGCTGCAGCCCGTGCGCCCGCTCTTGCCCTGCAGGCTGGATTCACCCTAAAGCAGGGGGGCAGAGAGAGGCCCCTGGGGCCGCTGCCCTTTGAACCTCTACAGACGGGGGTCTGCCTGCGGGGCCTGGGGCTGTCACGCGTCCCCTCGCGCCGCTGCCAGCGCAGCCTCTAGGACAGCGGGGCGCACGTGGGTGCGCACAGGCAGGTGCCATGTGGCGTGAGCACCAGGCGCTCCATAACGAGGAAGGCTTTGGCCCTGCCTGCTGCCCGGAGTGGCAGAGAACGTAGGAGTTTAATGGCCCGGTTGTATTGGCATGGTCTCCGTTTTCAGCCAGGCGTTTCTGCAGACACGTGCGTTCCTTGCTTTATCGAATATCAAATGCCTCTTGATAGCCTTGCCCAGCGCCTGCTGTAGCTTCCGAACCTTAAGTAAGGCAGCGCTTTAAACAATCCTTTTGCTACAAAAAAAGTACAAACCCAAAAGTTATTCATGTTTAGAATGTAAAGTATGTGCTACAATTCCGTTTAAAGGGAAGTTCCCGATTACCACCTACTGTGTATAAAGCCTGCCCAACGAGTCCTTCTGGTTTCGAAGTCGGAGGCGAGCACTTTCCCTGCAAGTCAAGACGGTCTTTCCAAATAGTCTCTCCATTGCAGGGAAAACATTTGAATTCATTTCCATTTCTCTACGTCGGCAGTGTGTGTGTTTCTTGATCTTCTTTGTCGACTCTGTTCTTCACTTACACTTAGGTGGTTTTTGAAAGTTAGTCATATCAACCCAAATTCAGATTATTTTTTCCTTCTGAACCTATAGGCTTATGCTGGATTCTGGCAGACCTTGAATTGCTCAGGCAACTGTTGGAAGAGAATTTTGCCTGCTGTTATAGTAGGCAAGTGTTGCTGCTTCCTGGATCTGGGAATTTAACTGTCTTCAGAATGCTTTTGCCCATCTCCTTTTTTTAATCACTTGAAAAGCAGGGATTGGCACCGTTTTCCTTTTGTGGTCCTAGGTTTCTCAGTCTGTATTCTTCAGTGCAAGCCACAGGAAAAAATCCTTTGCTCTCTTCTGTCTGTCTTTTGCCTCACTTTAAGTGTTTGTGCCTTGATTCCTGATAAATTGTGTCAATTTAGCTTTTTTTTAATACACTTTTTCCCTGTAAATTCCTTTTCTGAAACCACTAAGCATATGTATGTGTATATATGCTTATTTATAGCATACACATACATATGTATATGTGTATATATGTATATATACACATATTTGTGTATACACATATTTGAAGAGATATATATATGTGTGTGTATATATATGTATACATATATATACACATATATAATATATGTATATATACACACACATATACACATATATACACATATATGTACATGTATACATATATATACATATACACATATATGTGAATATATGCTTATTTTTCATGGTTTCAGACATTGTCTCTTCAAATCATACCGTCCCCATGTGTTTCATTCTGTGACTATCTCTCAAGAAACTCACTATTTTAATACTTCTTTTTTTCCCGTTTACATTCAATTTAGCCTCTGTCTTCTTATGTCTTTGTGTTTCCATTTCCAGTATAATGCTTCTTGACACAACTTACATCATCACTTACCTTTTGATGTGCTCACTCACCTCTTTTTTTGGATCCCTAGCCTGTTTTTTTTGCTCTATGGTAGGTTTGAGGCACACCAGAACTGAGTCAGATATTTGTTCATTCAGCAGAGGATGCAAACTGCTACTAGTCAGTGCTTAAAAGGATTCCAGGAGGTTTGAGAAATTAGTTTTTCTTGCATGTAAGCCATAGCAAAATAATTCATGAAGATTCTGCATAGAGCTTGGTCAGAAAAGGATAAATTGTGTTCCGGCACACGTCATGCCAAGGTGGTTGGTGGTAAATCTCAAGGTTTAGAAAATGATTCCCCCCTAAGTGAAACGGTAATGCTGAGATTAGTTAACTCTTAGGGGAAAATGATAACAACAGGTCATGGGCTAGTCAAGCAAAATAGTACCTTGCAGCTGGTCGTATGGTAGAAATTAAGATTTTGACTTGTCTGATTTTATTTGATTTGGCAAAGTCACAAAGACAAAAAGTTGATCTCTAGTGTATGCACATTTCATGGCAGGAGAAGTGGCAGTGCCCAAGGGAGACCGGTGGAAGGGAAGCCTCACAAAGTTGACATTCCCCATGTAGCATGTGGATTCAGGAAGTTATGTGATGCTTACAGATACAGGGGCTATGCTGTGTCCATGTCTTTGCTTTGAGTTAGAAATGTCTTGGTTGTATTGGAATTAACACTTTTCATTGCAGGGTCAGAACCTGGCATGCTCAAAGAGATAAAATAATGGCTCCATCCTTCCTTATGTGTAGATAAAACCTACCTTTCCTCGTGTTTGGGTATTATGTTTAAGTTGAAAGCAGTGGACATGATTAACAAAACCATAATGTGCATGGGGATAGGCAGTTGGTCGCACCTGGTGTCAATGGTATTAAAATTAAATAGATCAGATTGCTTTTCCCCCAACCAGTTGGGAAACTTGCTTTGCCATTAACAAAATAACCAGGCAGTAAAATTCACTTTTTTTGATGGACTCATTCTCTGCTATCAGGTGAACTGCAGGTAAAATGTATGCATCAGTGATACGTGAACACAGTCTGCTTGGGGAGTAGAGCATACTTATCATCTCTCTTAGAGCACACATGGTAGTAAGCATTGGCTTTTAATACTGGCTAAACAAGGCTGCTTCTTTCTGCGTGCAGACAAGTGTGCCACAATACACGTTTTGTTAGTGGTGGAAGGAAGCAATTGGGAACATAAAGTAAAAGAGGAAAGAACAGCTTTGGTTTTTGTCTGCTTGCTCCGTACACAGATTTTGAAGTGTTAAACTAGAATCAAACCAGAAATTCTCTTAGTAGCTCTTGAAAAATTGTCCTAGTGTGGTATTTACCTGTGAGCTGAGGTGTCCTGCTGCTGAAGTAAAATTCACCATTTTCGGTCCTTTAGTTTTCCTCACACAATCCACATAAAGGAGAAACTGTAGGAGAAAAAAAGCTTATGAAAACCAATAAAAATAAGGACAGTTTTCTAGCTAATTTTCTAGGCATAAAAGGCTGGAAGGTTACAAGATCTGTGTATGCTGAGACTTTAAGTGCTGGATATAAAAAGCTAAAACTTGTGCACCATTTAAGTAGATGCACTATGTAGGATCTCACACTACTACTCTCTGGTACAGGGAAACTGGCCTGAGCTGGATTTTAAATATTGCTTTTATTTTTATCAATGCGGGGGGCGCTTGTTTCTGTCCCAAGAATGCGGCTGGGTGTATTTTCATAGGAGGGAAAGATACAGGAGATAGTTATATTGCCTGGACATTAAAGATTATGATATTATGTAAGTTGGTTACTTTAGATATAACATCTTCTGGAAAACAAATGCCCTTGTAGTAGAATAAATACCACACAAAGGATGTGCTGGTAATAGCTTGTTTCTCTTTGCTTGACCCTTTATTCCTTCTTTTCTTTCTTCTTGTTTGCTTTTTGTTGTTTTCTACCCATTGTAGATGAGGACTAGGTAGACTTTAAATAAGGATTGTGCCATGTCTTTCAGCTGTTTTCTGTTTCCTTTCTCATCTGTTTGTGCTTATAATAAAAAGAACAAGCATTACCTTTATATGGAAGTTGTTAATAAAATATTGGAAATGCATAGTTTTGTGTAGCTGTTTCTTACAGATTGCAATATATAAAGGGTAGGCTCATCAGTCAGTGAAATCAGTGAAGAATATTACCAAACTGGCCATAGACTGCTTTCTTAGAATGTATTTTACACTAAGTGATGTAATTCCTAATCTCTTTTCTCCTTTTTTTAACTCAGAGAATTAGTCTGAAGCTTTTACTGAATCCTTTTACTCAAGTAAAGCTAGTAGAGAAAACACAGTAATATCATACACTTCTTTTCAGTTCATATCTGATTTATACACATGCACAATATGTGGCAGTATTGGAAAAATGCCATTCTCTCTCTCTCTCTTTTTTTTTTTTTCCCCCTCTAGTATCTGGCTTGTAGATTTAATCACTGCCCAGGGTCTATACTAGAAAGAAAGTGGTCTCTTCCATAAACTTAACTATTGCTTAAAAATACTAGTTTTAATGTTGCTTTTCTTTAAAATTTCAAAGCGGAAAAATATTCAGAAGAAAACAGTAGCAGTGGTCCTTGGGTGAGCTGGGTGTGTGGGGTACCTTGATGGGCTGTGAATTGCACTGACAAATTCAGATGTCATCAGAGGTTCAACTTCAGCGTTGATCGATCAGATATTTGCGTATCATTCTCTCTAATTATGAGACAGGGACAAAATGAAAAAGCAGCAACAACACAGGGGAAGTGTTAAACACGAATCAGGTTTCATAACTACTGCTAGCACATCGGTGAGCCTGTGTGGATAAATGCTTATTTAGTCAAAGGACCAAATTTCACGGAAGTGGGGCATTGCTTGAGGGAGAGAGATTCTCTTTTGCCTCGTTGGTCTCCTCCTGATTTTTATCATGTTCCTTTTTCTTTCCACTCACTTCTCTTCCTGCTGTTACCCCTGTGCTGCTGTCCTGCTCATGGCCTTACTCTGTCAAGCCCTTCAAGGGCTTCAGTGGTCCAAGCCCTACCATCTGCCAGGGATTTATTTTTATTTCATCTGGGGCAAGTTGGACTGTTTCTGCACAGCTGTTTCATTACACTTTAGTGGAACTGTTAGAAAAGATTTAGCCTGAATAGCTGTTGCATTTTTAAAATATCATTCATTGCAAAGGGAAGTTAGGGTTAAACCAGTTATAAATTGGATAATAGATTTTTAAAGTCACATTGTTTGAAAGATGACTTTGAACCTGTGTTGTTTCAAAGAACAAATGGAGCATATTTTTAAAATCCAGAATTCTTCTGTTTTACAAGTGTTATCAAGAGATACCTCCATAGCTAAGTAGTTTATTTGGTTTTGTTAGAAGAAACAAGCCTGTCTCTCATATGGTACCACATAGGTTTGGGGTTTATTTCAATTACTTCAGCTCTAATTTTTCTTCCTTGAGTCTGTTCCAGCAGCAGTTGAACTTCATGGCAGAGTTTCCCTTTGGCTTCAGTGATAAAAAATCAGTCTACGCTGACTTGAAAGCCTTCCAAGTATCCATGTGTGACACAGGAAAGAGCCAAGTTAAAGGAGAACAACTGCATAAATCTGAGAGAGGAACCAAAGCAAGTTTAGTTTTTCTGTCAGAGCCCTGGAAGCATTTGGCATTCTGTGCATCTGCCAAGGAATGTGTGCAAGGCAGCCCAGTCACTGAATGGGCATCCTGTGAAGCTCCATAGTTAACGTGACCCAAATAACATCTTAAGGTTTTTACTTCTGAAATGCTCCCAGGTTTCAGAAACGACACGTTATATTGTGCCTTGACACAATGTAAAATCATTTTTAAACACCATTCTTCTCAAAAACTTCCATATGGTGGCCGTGGCTCATGAACTTGGAAGAATGGCATTTGATGCTTCTCTGCTGCTCTTCTGCTGCAGAGAGCAATAGATTTGCTGATTGCAATGCTTCAGAAGTTCATCTGTGACTTCTCATTGCCTTTGGCTAGTGCTTGGTGATTGAGAAATTGTGCTAGCATTCAGTTTTTGTGTTGATACGTGAGACAGAAGATGTGCAAGTTTATCTGATGTAATGCTTTATGTAATCATCATGGCAAGAAAATAGTAGTAATACTGGAAACATTTTTAATTGCTTTTTTAGTAGATGTTAAGTAGTAAGTTCTCATAGTTACCGAGTAGCAAAACTCATGAAACTACCCCCATAACTAATCATAGTGACAATAAAGTGGGCATGTGGCATTGAATATTTTGTATGCCGTAGGTGTGGTAGTTTAAAAAAAAATCCACAATATTTATTGTGCGTTTCTTATACTTCTTTTAGTTTAAATTTTGTGTCTGGTTATCATAAGTGAAAATTATACCTGGCTCTGAGGGAAACGTATCAGCATCCGAAAGGCCTTAATGAACCATACAGTCAAAAATTTCAAGTATGTCATCATGGTCAGAGTCCTTAAGTAAATTCAAGACTATGAGAAACTTCTGGGTTTTGAAATTGGGAGATTCCTTGAAGGTCTGGAGCTCCTGGGTTTGATTTTGCTGGTGCATCCTTAGTCATTTGCCTTGAAATCCCCTGGGTGGTCAAGTGGGACTGCGTGGGCTCACACACGCGTCGTGTACTGTACTGCGTGTGAAAGGGATGTGCCGTTTCAAGCTGTCCTGCTCCCGTGGGATGCCAGGGCAAGTTGCAGCAGTTTGGACTGAGGTTTGGTGTCAGGGCACTTCTGGAAAGAGGAGAACAAAAACTTGAGCTGAGAGCGAGGAGAGTATATAGAGCCATAGCATAAAGTCCAGTGCAAGTCCCTCTCTGTAAGGGCACTATGGGCAATGGGTTGAATTGGTGCCTCCGTGCAGCAGTGTCAGGGCAGGGCTTTGGGCTGCGTTTCTTCCCTCCCTTGGCTGGTGTTGGCTGAGAAGGATGGATATTTCTCTTCCTGTAGTCCGCATTTCTAGGCAGCTAAAAAAGCAGTAACAGCACTTGCAAGGATCCCGCTCTTCCTCTGTTCAGTGGAAATAGAACCTGTTCTAATAGAAGCTCTTGTAAGATGGGCTTGAGCAACAGCTAATGCTTCTGGAAAAGTCAGTTATAAAATTGTTAGCTGGGGAGGAGAAAGCAGTTAAAGGTGAGAATGGGGGAAGCGATACCCTAGAGGAGGTGCTGCTGTGCTGCTTTCCTCCCACCGCCTTGCTGCAGCTCACTGCTTCCCCGCTCGTCTCTCGTGTTGCTCCTGCGTCCAGTTGTGTGACTGCTGCCCGCTCGCCGCTCCCGCTGAGCTAGGGCACTGAACTACGTGCAGTTATCTGTGTGTTTTTGTCGTTGTTTTCAAGGATATGCACAAATATTTATGGGTAGGTTCTTCATTGCAATGTGATTTCAAACTGCTTTCGAGTTTCAGTAATAAATTGTCTTTTTTACCTTGTTTGTTTAATATGTGATTGGATAATTGTAATGACTTGTTTTTGTAGTGGATGATGCTGGTAAAATAGAACATGAAGGTTCTGCTGAAATTACCATGGAAGCAGAGTCAGAAAGTGGCTCTTGTAAAGTGGATGGCATTTGTCCAGAAGTCATCAAGGTCTATATATTCAAAGCAGATCCTGGAGAAGATGATTTAGGTAAAACATGCTCATTTCAGAATACTCCAACCTGACATTTGAAATAGTGCATAATTAGAGGCTGTGGATTCTCTCAAAAGTCACCTGTAAAGAGCTCTGGGTCCAAACGTTAAAAGAGTATCTAAGCTTTCTGTTTTCTGCACTTTAGAAGAGAGTTTAGTCGAAGTAACCTAAAAATAATTTCCTAATTCTTCCTGGTTAGGAGGCACAGTAGACATTGTGGAGAGCGAGCCAGAGAATGATCACGCAGTTGGATTACTCGATCAGAACAGCAGTATTCGTATCCCAAGGGAGAAAATGGTTTACATGACAGTAAATGATTCTCAGCATGAAGATGAAGATTTAAGTAAGTAGGTGGCTTTCATTTGGGGATGGGGATCTTCACTTTCAACAGTGCAGTATTCTTATGTCCTTTTGGTTTATTTTTTCTTCTAATTTTCTCTTAGATGTTGCAGAAATAGCCGATGAGGTTTATATGGAGGTGATTGTAGGAGAGGAGGATGCGGCAGCGGCCCATGAGCAGCAAATTGATGACACGGAAATTAAAACCTTTATGCCCATAGCTTGGGCAGCAGCTTATGGTAGGTGATGCTCAAACAGGTGACCTGGGCTGTAGCAAATGCCTGTGCTTGCTCCCTTTCCTCAGGATGGGGAACTGTTGGTGCTTGTGTGTGTGTGTGCACGGCCGTGTGTTTTTGAGGTTTCGCTTTAAAATGGCTTCTTGGCACAATGAGCCTTAAAATTAAAAAGGGAAAAAGAGATAAACCATAAAGCTGCCCTTTCTGCTACTGTTTTAACACTCTATTTCCTTCGTATTTTCATGATACTAGTAAGGTAAATACACAGGCATTTAGGTGAGAAGTTGTGCCTCAAGTACATGTGTCCTTCACAATTTTAGGGCGCACTAAGAGCTAGCTTGGATACAAGACTGATTATTTACAACTTTTTAAAAGGGGCAAACTGGAAAATTTTTAAATCGGATAATGGTGAAATACTGACCCCCACCTGATTTAAATGTGTCCTGGAAGGAATATATAAATACATGTTTTCACACGTGGAAATAATTAACAAAACAGAAACTGAATGAGTCATCCTCAAATTGTTTCATTGGCATGCTCTTCTCATTCAAGTAAATACTTACTTCTCCACAAAATTTGTTCTTAAAATCTGCTTACACACTCGAGTCACCCAAAGTTAGCAAATTGGCCAGTGACTATATATTTAGAAAGATACTTACGTACTCTTACGTATTACCTTGTAATTCTTTTGGCTTTACTTCCATGATACCATTCGAATGTGAGGCGAAGATGATGATATTGTCCTCATTGTATCATACAGTGCTGTACATATGCTTCGTTTCCAGTGGAAATAACTAGTAAATGTTAAAATGCCAAATGGTGTGCTGTGTGGTGTGTATGCACATGTTCAGAATGGGCTCGCTGATGACAGCCCCAGCTCTGAAAGTCGGTGTGTGAGGAACCTCCGGCTCCGGTGAGGAACGTGCCTGGAAGCGAGGGGAGCTCGCGTGTTGGCGTGGCCTCAGCCCTGGGTAGAATACCAGGCACAAGGACAGTGCTTGTGCTTGCTGGTGAGGGACGTGTGGGGCCTGGTTAGTGCCTGAAGGAAGAGGAACAGATCCTGCATTTGAAGGAGAACGTTTTGGGAAATGGAAATATCTCTATTCCTGTAAATCGTGTAGGGCTTTAATTTAAAAAAAAAAAAAAAAAAAAGCCAGGTTCATAATGCCAAACAATTCATAAATTGCATACAGAGCAGTTTTGCTGCTCATCCTGTATGTTGTTACGGATTGATTAAATGTCAAGCTAATATTTTATCTTGCCATTTCTTTAATTACATTGCAGAGTTTGAGGTTTGAGTGCCGTGTAGGGTGATGGCGGGTCACTCCGAGGTAACTTTTCACCTTGTCTCGCTAGGTAATAACACGGAGGGGATCGAGAGTCGGAATGGCACCGCTAGTGCCCTGCTGCACATAGACGAGTCCGCGGGACTCGGGAGACTGGCCAAGCAGAAACCAAAGAAGAAGAGGAGACCCGAGTCGAGGCAGTATCAAACAGGTGAGCGCCTGCTCCAGGTCACGCAGGCACCTCCCCGTCAGCACTTGCCCCTCTTGGTAGGGGGTGCCTTGCCTCGTAGAGAAACAGTGATTGCTCTGGGTGATTACTTACTTAGTCCTCACAATCACAATTACTTTACCTCATAGACAAGTGCATATTTTAAATCCTTTAAAGACATTTATGTTTGGAATTGTGCTGATTTCTTCTTTGGTGGGGAGGAGTGGGGTTGGGCATGAGAGCTTCCAGTGGAGGGGAAGCCGTCTCTGCCGTAAAGAGAGCAGTATCATGGCAAAAGGTTAAAAGCCTATGAACTTCCCATCCTGGACTAATTCCAATGTGACTTTTAAAAGCATGATGTTAGACAGCTAAACAATATTGAATAATAGAAGTTTTAAACCCCTTTTTGACCTTATGGAGAATACAGAAAACAAACTAAATATATTGCCTTATATTTATTCAGTAAGTAGTGGAAGATCTGAACTTTGTGTGTGTGTTAGGTAGTGCAAATTCTATGGCCTCTTGTTTTATGAATTATCTTCAGGTTCAGTCCAGTGTTCTTATTTGACTCTGTGAGAACAGATAGGCTCTTCTGGCATATTTGGTTTCTGCTGCTCCTGCATTATGGTCTGAATGATCTATTTGTTCTGATAAAGTTGAAAGAGCACCTGACTTTTGTTTTAGTAGCCTTAAGTTATAGTGGAAGTTCCTTTCCCAAATTGTGACTTGCCTGTAGGAATTCTCTTTTCTCTAACTGTCAGTTAGTAAACCAGGCAAATTTTATCCTTAAAATTCACTTTTAGTATTTCCAGCTACTTAGTAAGTTCTGTATCTAAAACCCTTCTGTAAAAGAGTGCTGGAGTGTGCCCGCACACCTTCCGCATGGACCAGTTGAGGCCGCCGGATGGGAGCGGAGGAGCCGCTTCCGCGCGGTGGTCTCCTCCGCTCCCGCACGGCTCTGCCCTCGCTGCAGGGTGACGCGCGGCGCCAGGAGAGGCGTTCGCCGGGGCCACGTGAGCCGTGCTCAGCGCTGGCTGGCTGAACCGCCGGGTTCCGCCGCAGGCACAAACCACGGCAGGTGGATGAGGAGCGTGTGCTCTGCTCCCTGTGCCCTGCTCACTGGTACAGGCTGGGTGCTCTTCTTTGCACCAGCATCACTTTGTGCGTGTTCTTGATAGCTGGACTCAGTCAGAGTGCATTCAAATGGAAATAGCAGAGGGAGAGAACATCTGCATGATACTTTGCATCTAAACAGATCGTTTCCTCTTATCCCTTGACAATAATCATTAATGAAAATAGTAATTCTGTCCATTTCTTTCACCTTAAGTAATGAGCTTGGTTGTTCCATAGTAAAGTATGTGTCTGCACCTTTATTTGATGAGTAGAATCGATTCATTTTCTTAATGCTGAATTAAAATTCTGTTAGGATGGCTTGCTGTTTCGGTTGTTGCGTTCACAGATTGCCATGTCATTTCCTTCCCTGATTAAAATTATACTTTCTAATTAAAAGACAATATTTAGAGGCTCTCAGAAGTTTGATAACTGTAAAGTCAATTTTTAACAAATCCCTTCAGTGTAATTTGTGTGACGTTGACGTCTTTCTTTCCTGCTGAATGCTTCTCGCTCCACAGTGCTGCCAGCTGGGGAAATGCGGACACTGCAGCTGTCAGCGCTGGAAAGCGACTGGCAGTTCTGTTTAATAGGTCCCGGGAGGTGGCACTTAGCAGTACGTGCAGGCTTGACCTTAGTTACCTGTTCAGGTCACTGTTAAGGTTGGAATAGGAAATGCTGTGAGGTACAACACTGATCCAAGTTTCCTCTTCTTTTTCAGCAATAATTATTGGTCCCGACGGTCACCCGCTGACGGTCTACCCCTGCATGATTTGTGGAAAGAAATTTAAGTCCCGAGGTTTCCTGAAAAGGCACATGAAAAACCACCCGGAGCACCTTCTTACAAAGAAGAAATACAGATGCACGGACTGTGATTACACTACGAATAAAAAGATAAGTTTACATAACCACTTGGAGAGCCACAAGCTGACCAACAAGACGGAGAAGCTGATCGAGTGCGACGAGTTTGGGAAGAGCTTCTCCCACGCGGGGGCTTTATTCGCTCACAAGATGGTGCACAGGGACAAGGGCGTTAACAAAATGCACAAGTGCAAGTTCTGCGACTACGAGACGGCGGAGCAGGGCCTGCTGAGCCGCCACCTCCTGGGCGTGCACAGCAAGAACTTCCCTCACATTTGCGTGGAGTGCGGCAAGGGCTTCCGCCACCCCTCGGAGCTCAAGAAGCACATGCGGATCCACACGGGCGAGAAGCCCTACCAGTGCCAATACTGCGAGTACCGCTCCGCCGACTCCTCCAACTTGAAAACCCACGTAAAGACTAAGCACAGTAAGGAAATGCCCTTCAAGTGTGACATTTGTTTCCAGACTTTTTCAGATACCAAAGAGCTCCAGCAGCACACGCTCATGCACCAGGAGAGTAAAACGCACCAGTGTTTGCATTGCGACCACAAGAGCTCCAACTCGAGCGACCTGAAGCGACACATCATCTCGGTGCACACGAAAGACTATCCCCACAAGTGCGAGATGTGCGACAAGGGCTTCCACCGGCCCTCGGAACTCAAAAAGCACGTGGCGGCTCACAAGGGTAAGAAACTGCACCAGTGCCGCCACTGTGACTTTAAGATCGCAGACCCCTTCATCCTGAGCCGCCACATCCTCTCGGTGCACACCAAGGACCTGCCCTTCAGGTGCAAGCGGTGTAGGAAGGGCTTTAGGCAGCAGAACGAGCTGAAAAAGCACATGAAAACGCACAGCGGCCGGAAGGTGTATCAGTGTGAGTACTGTGAGTATAGCACTACGGACGCGTCGGGCTTCAAACGGCACGTTATTTCCATTCACACCAAGGACTACCCTCACCGCTGTGAGTACTGCAAGAAAGGCTTCCGGAGGCCTTCCGAGAAGAACCAGCACATAATGCGGCATCATAAAGATGTTGGGCTGCCTTAAAGTCTCTTTCCGCGGACTTAGCGGCTGGAATTGCAGAGGAATTTTGCCTTCCGGGCAGTTAGCTTATTTTAAAGCCAATCACCTGCGATCTCACACACACACACCCCCGACACACACACAAGAGAGAAAAAAAAAAAAAAAACAACAAAAAAAACCATACTGTGCATTTGATTTGTTGCTGTATAAAATAGGATTATTGCTTCTAGTTGACTTTTATACCTTTTGTTCAATAGCGTGTTCGGAATTCTATTCAGTTTGTTTAATAAATGAAGAAAAGATGGCAACAATAAAGTTGCATTTAATAAAGTAAACCCTGTCTCATACTGAATTTTTCAACCGTAATAGTTTATTTAAATATATTTATCTTACTGACCTCGTTGATGCTCACAGTGTCCATGTTAATGCAGTTTTGTCATGAATTGAAAAAATACGAAACTTCTCGTGATGAAATTGTCCGAGGTGTGTACAAGGTGGGGAGCTGTGATGTGGAGGGCAAAGGCACTAGGGCCCACTTGATTGTCTTGGTTTAACTATACAGACTTTATGGCAGGTTAACCATTTTACAGTCGAGGAGTTACACGTCTAACATCGAACAGAAGCTATTCTGCATTTTAATTCAGGTTTTAAAGCTTAAAAAAAAAAAAAGAAATTGTTTGGGCATTTGTTATCCTTTTTTTCCTTTGGAAGATTTAAAAGTATGCTCAGATACTATGTTTATTATTCTGTGCTTCTTTGTCTTTGGAAGGTTGTACGTTACAAATTAGTCGCTTTTTTCAATTTACTGCTGACTTAATGTTGGAAACATGAAATACTGTTGTTCCATTTGCAGAGTTGGTAGCTTACAGCTGTTTGTACATGCAGGTAAATGTACTTCAACTTTAATGGTTTTATGTACATTAATATTTCTTCAAAAGAGCAGTATGTGGGTCAAGTCACATTTTTATTGTGAACTGATACAAAATAAAATTTAAGTCCAAGAGGTGCCTCGATGTTGGAAGTCAGCGTGTTGCAGCGAGCCCGTCAGGTGGGAGCGGAGCGGAGCAGGACGGTGCACGAGGGACCGCGCTCGTTTGGTGCCGACGTCCGCAGTGCGAACAGCGACTGGTGGCAGTCACGGAACTGGTCCCAAACTGCCTGTTCTTCCCGAGCCCCCGGCAGCCCTTGGGTGTTCCTGCGGTATGCGGAGTTCTCCCAACTCCCGAGCAGCGGAGGGGCCGCCGCACGGCTCTGGCCGCGGAGCCGTGGGGCGCGAGGCCCTGCGTCCCCACCGGAGCCCCGCGCGCTCCCTGCGCTGCCCGCCGGCGCCCGCAGCTCCCGCTGCCCGTCCCCAGCTCCGGCCGCTTGCGGAATTCCGCCCGCCCGCAGCTCCCAGGTGGGGCCGATTGTAACTGGTTCTGTCCCCACTGGCGGAGCCCCTGTGGTGGCGACGGGCCCGGGGCTCCGGGCGGGTGTCCTGCGGGCGCTGGAAAGGGCCGGGGATTCCGCTCGGCACCCGGCTCCCGAGTGCTCTACATGGGTGCCGCCGCCTGCTCGCTCCTTCTGTGTCGCTGTGAGCTTGAAGTACTTGCGTGTGCCGCCCAGCTCGTGCGGGGCTCCGTCCTGCCCGCGCGGCCGTGCCCCGGCGTGCCCGCTTGACGCCCACGCCGGACTTGGCCGCGTGGCGCCTCGCGCGGAGCCGCGGGGTCCGAAGCTGCCCCGCGCCGGCTGCGTGCGAAACGCGCCCACCGTTCCCGGCAAATCCTGCAGCTCCGCCTGTGCTCGGCTGCCCGGCCCGCGGCCCGCCAACTGCCCGCAACTGGGAACCCAGAGATGCACAAAAGCGGCAGCGATTCCCACGGCATCGCTGCGGGTGTCGCCCGTTTCAAACCTCCCTTTTCTAAATATGCTGAAAGACAACACAATTTCACCCGTTTTCTTCCTCTTGCATAGCCTGGAATCACATGCATCTTTCTTTCTTTCCTTCTTTCTTTTTTTCCTTCTTTTTTCTTTTCTTTTTTCTTTTTTCTTTTTTCTTTTTTCTTTTTTCTTTTTTCTTTTTTCTTTTCTTAAATACAATGCTGAAACTTGGTTTTTTTTGTTTTTTTTTTAATAATTGAGGGTTTGGTCAAGTGGCTTTTGTAAAATGTATTTGTCTGTATAAAGAGAAAATGAAATTATAGTTCATGTACTGACATTAGTTGCAGTTTTAATTCTTAAATAATTTGATTAGCAAATGCTATGAAATGTATGTTTCAGTTGAATTTTCTTTTTTTAAAAAAAAAAGGTACAGATTTTTACAAGGACATAATATAAATTATTGTTCTGTAGAAAATGCCCTGTTAAATATTGTATACGTTCTGCCCTCTGTATACTTTGTAAAAAAGACAAAAGGAAAAAACAAAGTACATAGACTCATATAGGGATGTGTGACATTATTGTAATTGTGTACTTGATAATAACGTGGAGAAAAATAAAAATTGAAATATTTTCCTGTTAACGCCCGCTCAGTGTGTTTGCTGCGAGGCCCGAGGTTAAGCCTTGTTCCGAGGGACGCGTCCGTCTCCAGCGCGCACTGGCTCCTTTCGCTGCTTCCCGCTCTTGGGCTCAGTTTGCATACTGAGACGCTGGGATATCGCTCACCAAGGTTCCTGGAAAGGTTCCTTTGCTTCCTGGAAAACCCATCGACTAATAAGTCAACGCAAGCGATGGGTTTTGCTTCGGAGCAGGTGACAGCCCTTCGAAATCCGCTTAAAAGTCCGCTTTTATGTTTAGGAGGAACATCTGCTGCGCTCGCTCCGTGACACCTCTGTGAATCCCTGTCCTCCAGCGAGGAGGTTACGGAGCGAGTGCCCGGCCAGGGGAGCAGCCCCGGGGCAAGCAAGGTGTCACTGAGGGCCATGGCGCACAGCCCACTCCTGCTCCCGTTCCCGGCCGGAGCGCTCCCAGCAGCACTGCTCCGGCTCCGGACCTGTGCCCATGGTCGCTCGCTGGGTCTCCATGCAGGTCCCACTGGAGCATCCCAATGTTGGCCCGTGCCAAGCTGCTCCGGAGCGCTGCTGTCCGGCCAGGCCTGAGGACTCGGCACTGCAGAACAACCGAATCCGTTGCCGGCTGCGCGCAGCAGGAGGCAGGAGCAGGAGCGGCATTCCTCGCTCACGTCACCTAGTGCATCCTGCCCTCCGGCTGCGTCCCTCCGCTGCGAGGGCCCCGCTGCCCCCCGGCCGTGCCGAGGGTTTCCGAGCTGCAGCTCCGCTTGGGCCGGGTCTCCCTCGTCGCTCCGCGGTGGCAAAGGCAGGAGCCGCGCGGGACGGGGCCGAGGAGCGCGGGTGCCCGCTCGGAAGCTCCTCGAACGCCTCGTTTGCGAGCCAAAAAGCTGTCCCGCCAATTAGGAAAATCAGACTCTGGCTAGCAGCGTGCTGCGGTGCACTGCTTTGTTGAAGGTAGCCATTAAAATTATATCATACCTAATTAACAGGAAGCACGGCCAAGTGGCAATTAGGATGTTAACAGTTAGGCAGAAAGCTGATCAAGGAGTGGCTGGAAGCTGATAGGCAGGTCAGTAAAGTGGCCCGGAGCAAAGAGGTAGCGCTTCTTCTTAATTACATAAAAGAAAGCCAGGCTATGAAGTTGTTACTGGGTGGAAAACTTCGTAGGGATTTTTTTTTTAAGTGATCATGCAGAAAATGCAAAAGTTTATTTTGCATCCAATAAAGCTGAGGATGTTTTTTTTCACAGCAGAGGCAATCAAGAAGGTAACAAATTTCTATAAGTGATAAGCATTTTAAAAACTCCGAGCACAGATACCTTGTAGGCTATGGAGTCGAGGCCATGTAGTGTATGGATCTTGATATTGCACTGGAATCCCAGAGAAACTCCATGGACATGGAAAAGCGTTGCCACTGCATCAAAGACAACCCAGAGACCTAAGAAATGGTGTATTAAAAGATGAGGAAATGAATCCATAATCCTGTAAGAAAGTTAACAACACGGAATCGGGGGCACCCCGTGCACCTCGCTGAGAGGCGCTGGCAGTCGGGGCGGCCCCGCTGCCCCGGGAGCAGCACGGCCCAGAGCGACCTGCTCCTGGCCTCGGGCCACCCTCCATGGGCAGCGGCCTCCCACGGAGCAGGATTCCCCTCCCTCCTGGCGCAGGATTTAGTGAATTCTCACAATCCCAATCAGAGCTGACCACACTCAGCTCCTCAGCACTGAGAGGCTTGCGAGCCGTAAATCTGTGATCCTTTGAGCGGGACCCACAGGAGCAGGCGCCAGGCGACCCCGCGGGGACGAGGCTGCTGCCCCTGCATGGGAATCTCTGCCTGGAGCGCGTCCCGGGGCCGGCTCGCAGGGCAAGCGTGGTCGCTGCTGCCCCGTGAGGCGCTGGTGTGAGGCAGCGCAGACGCTGCCCCACGAGGCGCTGGTGTGGGGCAGCACAGACACTGCCCCGCGATGCGCGGGTGTGGGGCAGTGCGGACACTGCCCCGCCAGGCGCTGGCGCCACCTCGGCCCACGGAGCGACTCCCGGGCCGGGCCCGCGCGAACCCCGCAGCAGCCCCGCCGCGCTGAGGCCAGCAGCGACCGCTGAGGGACCTCGCGGCAAAATGGAGAACAGCAGCAGCAGAGGCGGCCACGCAGCCGCCCCCGACACAGCCCCGCGCCGGGGGCCCCGTTGGCGCTCGCGGACCAAGGGCGGCCGGCGCCGCCGCCCGCCCTCACAAGGCGGCAGCCCAAGTGCTCCCCACGCCAGGGGCACGAGCGGCCCCGGCCGGGGCTTCGCAGGTGTCACGGAACAAGGGTGTGGGGCGGGTGAGTGACACAATGCGCTTCACTCGTGTGAAAGAAATAACAATAGGGCTTATTGATATTGACAATGATTTCACGAGATTCTGTGGCAAGGTCGCTTATTATTTACTGCATGGGGGTTTAAGATAATACACAATTATCTTGGGATACCCTCCGGTTGGGTCACGAGGTTCAGATTGGACCTCCTAGCTTTCCAAGCTCCTTCTGAGAGGAGTCTGGGTGCAGCTGGATCCAATCCTAGTCCCAGACCTGGTCAACAGTTTATGACTAAGGGTTCTTGTGCACAGTTACAAAGTAAAGTTTAAAAAGAGCGCACTATGTTCACTTACCACAAATCTGTTGTGGAAAGGGATCTCTCAGCCTCGAGGAGGATCCTTGAGAGGCGTCCCTGCTCCAGGGGAGATCCTGCTGTGCCGCCTGCTGCCATGCTAGGAGAGCTCAAAGGGCTCTCGGGCTGTCCACGTATTTATAGGATACGATGATTGACTTATAGTCATTCTTTCACTTCAGAGGACCATTGCCTAGTGTACTAGCCTTATCTCCCCACCGGGATGCAGCCTTCAGGACTGCTATGTTGACGACTGAGTGGGAATAAAAATCAGGACGGCGCCTACTAGGAGCAGACAAACTGCTGGTGGTTAACAGCTGAACGGGGCTGCACGTGGGAGGCCGGGTGGAGCTGGGAAAGGAGCACCTCGCCGCAGCAGGGCCCTCGTGTCCCTGCAGCGCAGCGGGGCCGCCCGGGGCCACCGGCCCTGCCTGCCTCTTGCCCACGGGCGGCCCCGCTGCCTCCGCGGGC